CCTGACATCGTACTTGCAAGTTCACACACCTCTTTAACATTAATTTTAGTGATCTCCGACTGACGAAATCGAACATCACTTTTAAATTTGCTGTGATGTCAGGCACTCTGGCTCCCGTCAAACGTGACTATCGAGGCTGGTGTCTCTATTTTCACGTTCCGTGTAATAGAATCGCCAATAACTAGGGCACATTCAACAGGATTCTCAGTGGGTGTTTCACTGATTGGGGAGAACCGGTTTAATGTTGTTATTGGAACGGAAGAGCGGTGTTTTGCCCCGCGACTACAGCGTCTCATGGTCACCCAGTTGCCCTGCTGCGCAGCTCTGCAGGCTCTACAGCCGGAACCGAACAATGTACAGTGTTCACTAAGCTAGTTGCATCCAAAGCAGTATCTAAAGCCCTTGCATTCTTACTATCCTCGATTAAAGTTTGGATGCGTGTCTCTAGTTCTGAAATCTTCTCCGTCAGCCTGTCTATTTCTCTGCATTTATCACATGTGTAGCCCTCACCGCTGACAGAGAAGACTATACTATACATGTGGCAGGCAGTGCAAGTGAGAATAACAGAAGAAGACATGACTCACCCTGTTTGTTTACTGATCCGACTCACCACAGTTGTTTGATGGACTCGTAAAAGTCCATCAAAAGTCCATCAGCGTGCGTGAGAAAAAAACGGTAAGCACAGATGGCAGGTTAACAGGTTAGCGAAATGCTAACGCATATGCTGATTTAGATCAAAGCTAGCGATGTCAGATTAATGTGACAGACAATATAGATATATTGTGATGATTAAGTTATATTAAGAAATATAAACAGCAAGGAAAGATAGAAAAAAGAGATTAAATACAAAGCTAGGTTATATGGAGCAATCAGCAACAAACCCAATCCACTCAGGAAGACAGGAAATCGATGTGCAACAGAAGAAAGGATATCATAGAGTTTTGGAATGACATGAGTGTAAGTTAATGATGACAGTAATGATCATTTTTGGGTAAAGTAAGCCTTTAAACCCCATTAGCCCATCCCTAGTGCTGCCCATGATACAGAGCACAGCTAGAGAGAAGTACAGTGAACTATCGTTATGGAAATAGACATTTAGTGAAAGCCATCATCCGGTTTCAGGATACTAATGTACATGCAAGTCATTTCCTAACCTGCTGACCTCTCAGAAGCCCTGATGCCCCTTAATGAAGACTGGCTTAGAAACCCTGCATTTCATTTCATGCATGATCAGCACCTCTCTCTGATCTGCCTCATCAAGTTCAACCAGAAAAGATAAAAAGAAGAGGAAACGAGTAGTTTTATGCAGATCTAATCATCTCTCCCTTCAACGGAGTCAAGTCAATTATCAAACAAGCTCCGTGTGTCGAGCACAATGTAACTGCAAATTAAAAATCAGACTCGGCTGATGGCTATGGGTTGTGTTTCTTCAAGACGGGCATCAATTTATGCACAGAGGGCAGGGAAGCCATAAACTAGCGGCTATTCAGAGCGTGAAAAGGAGATGCAAATTATTCTGAAGTTTCGGCAGTGAAGAAGCGACGACGCACCATTAACAGTCAATAACCCAGCGGTAGCACTGTTGATAGATAGACAGTGATAGAGGAGTGGGGCTGGCCAAAAACATCTCGAGAAGTATTCTCTTAAAGTCAACCCTGCTTACATTGCAGGATAAAAAGCCTCATTAGTCAGATGTAAACACAATGGAGCCCAACTTTTGTGAAGAGATTGACTTTGAGAGCTCAATGAAAGGTAAATTCATTATTGACATTTGGAGTCACCCTCAAACATTGTAAAAAAAAAAGATTTGAGTCTCTTTCTAATGCTGCATTGATTTTGCAGGGTAAGGCTTGGAATGCAAAAAAGCTTTTATAAACTATAAGCTAACATTTATTTCCTGAGTTAAAATACAGGGCAAAAGTTTGCACTTGAAGTAAATCTGGCAAATATTAAATGGCAGGGCCAAAAACTTGAGTTATCAAATAAATCAAAATGTACTAGAACTTTTTTTTTTTTTTTTTTTTAAAGAGAACCGGACACGAGACGTTTCATAAACACTGAAATGTTAATAAAACCTTTAATAAACAACTGTGAATGACCTGTTGACCAACTAAAAGAGGTCATCGGCAAAAAAGCACTGATGATCTGACATGCATGTTGAAGTTTAGCGATGTCCATTGTGCAATTCTGCTGGAATGAAAGTGTCAGTGTTCCCTCACAGGGTCGCATCTTCAATTTGCTGCTACTAAATCTGCGAGCGAAACTCCTCTGGCAAACTGTAATAAATACAAACATGAATCTCGACCATATTGTTTGCGATCAAGGTTGGTGAATAAATGCACTCATGCAACCCCTGTGCTACAATAGGAAGTAAAAACGTAACATTTGAAATTAATATTAGGAGCCACCGTTGTTCTATTATTATTGTATCCGTTTTAGTGCATGCGCCATCCTACAGGCTTATTAAGTGACGTGAAAGTATATAATAAAATTATATGGTCTTTTACTTGATACAACACTGAATTTTCATGTTGTTTGGTTCCAGTAACAGTTCTTGAACACCTGATTTTTCCTCGATGAAAGTATAGGGTACGTGGGTAAAAGAAAAATAATAGAGGAACTGAGAATTAGAATATTGGAACCAAAATGGTTAAATTACTTAAGATTTCCAGTCTTATTCAAGACTAGTTAAAATTAGAATACAATATATGGCAGAAATAATAAAAATTCACTGAAAGTTATTTGTCTTTAAACCCAATTGTTTGTTAAACTCGAGCTCTTTGATGCAGGCTTATTCTGCTTTAATTCTACTATACATTAACATATTTGAATAAAACAGTCTTGCACAGTGTTACGTCTCAAAGAAAGAAAGAAAGAAAAAACACATAGCAACAGCAAGAGAAAGACAACTGCGGTAAAAATAAAAAAGACGCCCTCACTTACACTGAGTTTCATCAGACACCCCTCCCAACACCCCCCCAAAACCCTATTGATCTCTCCTGGAGTCCCGAGCGCTGCATTCAGAAAACACAGAAGGACTGAGGACTCGTTTCTGCAGAGACTGCATAAGAAACGGAGCACCTCCTCCACTCATTACACACTTTCTTCAGGTTGCATCAACTCCTGTCCCAGCAAACCTTCAGCCGATGAATGGTAGAGCACTTCGAGCAGAAACACCAGTCACAGACAAAGGGAAAGCTGGAATGATGGAACCATAGACCATAGGACATCTTTCAAATGAATCTAAACCCCTGCTGCTTGATGAAGCGCTCGTCTGTTCAGGTGCCATTACATACAGTTCAGCTAGATGGGGTTTATGACATGCGTATTAATGCCAGGCAGACTCAGGCTTGCCCAAAGTCATTGCTGAGTAGGTCAAAAGTCTCATTACACAGATGTGTCCAAATGCATGAATGTGCGCCACACAAAACACAACACCTCATTCAAAATCCTCTGAAACCGGGATACATTTTTTTTTTCCTTCTTCCAAGCTGAAATGTCAATATCTTCATATTTTTGTAATAGCCGTTGAGTAAACGAGTGCGCACAATAAAATCACAATGGCGTTTGAATATAAGGTTGAACTGTGTTCTCAAGACATTTTCATTTCATTAGCAGGTCAGGGCAACTACAATTGTAAAATGTTTTAAATTACAACATTTGTTGACTATTTCTGATATTACAGTTTATATTCTATTTATGATTGTCATAACTGTATTACTGAAAACCCTACGGTTGAATGACAGGTTCAATTGTTACAGCTTACATATAGTGTGACAACATATACCACATTAATAGGCATGTTGCTAATGTGTTTAATGATTTTTGTTTTTTTGTTTTATATGTTTGTTTTTTGTAGCAATACAAAACTCCACAAAATATAATGCCAGATTAGAGCTGTGTTCAAATATTTAACTCCTATACTGCAAAATTAACCCAAAATCAAACACATTACATGCGTATTTCCTAAATTAATGTGCAATATTTAAAAAGCTTTAAGGCACTTTATTTACCATATACTATACAGTCTCTAACCATCAGCTCAATACAAATGCTTAATGCAATAATGAGTGCTGGAGATGCCCAGATACATGTTTTATGCATATCATATTATAAAAGCAAGCAAATTCAGAAAAGCATTCTTATGATAATGATCAAAAATGTATCATTTAAAATGAAAATCACTTGTGACAGAATTAAAACTCTGCATTCACTCTGCAAACACACAAGCATTCAAACAGGTCTTTTTTAAAGGTCTCTGAAAAACGCTCAGCAACGTTTATTAAGCGACACGATATTCCCCATAACAATAATCATCTGTGTTTTGAGTGTCATACTGTAAAGCACATGACCATCACGCTGACAAATGTGGAATGTAGATCCGGCAAATGATTCCTGAGCTGAGAAAAATTAATAAACCGAGCAGCATTATTATGATGAATCAGCATCTACGGTCTGATTAAATCTTCTTCTTTCACTCCGATATTTACCTAGATCTAAAAAAAATACTGCAGAGTAAAAGAACAAATTCCCCCAATCAGAAATCAATATATCTGAATACAGCATCATTGCATATTGACAAACACACGCGCCTTACCTGGTGCTGAAACACACTGCGCCCTTATGATGAAACAGCAGCTTTGTGCTGGTGTGTGTGTGTGTGTGTGTGTGTGTGTGTGTGCTCGCGCGCGCCAATCCACACATTTCTGCACATCCCCCTAGCTGTCACTATAATACCTCTAATTCACAGCAACACACACAGGGAATCCCCATAGACGTGCGCGCCTCTGATTCCAATCACGCTTATTACATATGTTTACGACACGACACAAAGCAGCTCGTTTGCAGATGTGAATCAACATAAATGCACGTGCGCTTATATATTGCTGCTTTAGGTATATGCTATTGATATAATATGACAGTAAGTGGGAGGCGTGCATGCACACTCAGCACAACAACACTCTCACACATTTCATGAAACACTAATCGAGTCGACTCACCCGAACAACAGAAGCCTTTCTCTATACGCGTGTGGAGTGAGTCCAGAATCCAGAGTGTGTTTGAGGGAATCAGACGTGTAAATGTGTTATTATTGTTGCTCGGATTCTCTTTCTCTTGTACCGAAATCATCAGACGTCATGTGATGTTTGATCACGTGGCTTCATTCATGTAGGCACTACGACACCGCTCATTTAAAGGAGCAGTCTTCAATACAATTTTAATCATTCAAATAATTCCTCATTTATTATATAAGGAGGTTGCTTTCTAAGTAACATCTCGACAAACCAAAACCCTTTTTTTTAATTAAAAACACATAAATGAGTGGTCAACATGTTAGATGGTAACATTTTACATTAGGTGGAAAAGTGCATCCATTTTTTTAATTTTTAATTCCTGAGAGATGTTTTTAATGGTAAATGGACTGCATTTATATAGCACTTTCATAGACCCAATGGCCACCAAAGTGCTTTACATATTGCCTCACATTCACCCACTCATTCATACACCGATTAATATTTTGTTTTATAATTTATACAAACATTTATATAAGAAATGACACATTAAATACTGTGCAAATGTCAGTGTAATTGGACTGTCGATTATATACAGACGATTGAAGTGTCACGCCATTGTAAAGTGACTAAAAAATTACAATCAGTGTTTGTTAAAAATGACAATTCAAATTAGCTTTCTAATTGCAAAACACCTCAGATCATCAATATCATTTTTTTAAGCAAAAAAAAAATTGGGGGTAAGCAATTCATTTTTTTAAAATCAATGGCGTAGCTTCATTGGGTGCTTTTCAGAGTGCGCTTAAAACTTACTTGTTCTCTTTAGCATTTGACAATGCTTTGTACGTTTTTATGCCATACGTTTGCATTGTTTTTATGTCTTTGTTTTTACTTTTTTTCTTTTATACCTTCTGTACAGCACTTTGGTTCCACTTGTGGTTTTGAAAGTGCTCTATAAATAAAGTTGAGTTGAGTTGAGTAGCTGGCATAACTTCCTTCAATATGTGTCTTTTTAAAGAGTACATTGTTTTCTCTGTCCTTTTACACATAAACTCAAACGTTTATAATGACAGAACAGTATCATCTAGTTTGAGCAATTCTACACACACACACAAATATATTTCTTCAGATCAAGCAGGACTCTTAAATTGAAAGCATCTTTCTAGTAGTTTAGTTTGCTGCTGCTGTCTTCACATCATCACCCAGAGCGAACCACTCCATGCTGACAAAAAGTGCTGTGAGCAGAGTTGCCTTCATAACATCCAGAAGAAAGAAAAAAAAACCTAAAGACCAGTTCAGTCTGTCTGGAAGATGCTTACTTTGGACCTTTGGTAGGGAATATACACACGTTGAATTGGTAGTTCAGTGAAAAAAATTGAAAACCATCACCATTTATTATTCCAAAGCTTTATGCATGGAACACAAAAGAAGATATCCTGTAAAAATGGGACAGAAGAAAGAAATGCATACACGTTTGGGACAAAATTTGAGAAAATTATAACAGAATTTTCATTTTCCCTTAAACATTTAAGGCATGTAACTTAGCAGTAAGAACTTAGAAGTTAAAAGATAACATCAAAACTTTAGAAACAAAAACCTGCACAGACTAAAACAAATGAGAAAAAATAAATTGCCCTCCAACCTTATTAGTAGATTTTAATTTCCCCAGAATCAATTCCTCATGATATAAAAAAGAGCTACAATAAATCATTTGCAGTGTCTACAGACAAGATCTTCCATTTAAAGTTTTACTTTGAAATACAAATCTCAGTAGATATCTATATGTATTAATGATATCTATGAGGGAAATACAGTAAATTAAAGGGGACCTATTATGCAAAATTCACTTTTGTAAGGTGTTTGGACATAAATGTGTGTTGGCAGTGTGTGTACACAACCACCCTACAGTGATAAAAATCCACTCACTCCTTTTTTTTTAAAATCCCCATAAATCGTAAGCAGTGTCTCCCAACGACCTGTTTTCAGAATGCGGCTTTAGTGACGTCACTAAAGCCACAGGCCCCGCCCACGAGTGTTGACAGACATTGCCGTTTTAACTTAGACCCGCCCTGATCGAGTTCACATCAAGTTGTACACATCCGCCATTGCTGCACTAATGAGAATGTCTCCCAAGCGTTGAAGGTGTTGTGGCTGGATGTATTCATTCACATATAGCTTTCTCTATTTACTCCTGATTCCTGAAATCTGGAGATGGTCCTCACTGCAGAACATGAAATCCACGGGGAGGAGTCGGATCCAGATCCAACTCCTCCCACCTTACATATACCTAAACCTACTAGAGGTCTGCTACCCGACCCGAGCCCGACGGGTCCCGGGGGTGTGGGTTTCGGGTCGGGTTCGGGTTAATGTTTAATGAACAGCCTCGGGTTCGGGTCGGGTTCGGGTTTAACTAAGAAAAACTAAATAGGCTATATATAGTTTGCGTGCCGTGTGCTTTGCCTGCTTGCTGTGTTGTGGTGACCGGCACGCGAGAGAGAGAAAGTACATACGTGCGCAGATGTGCAATATGTGCATACACACAGACACACAGGCTCTCTCTCTCAAATATAATGATAATGATAATTTTTGTTTTATTTTATCATATGATTTGCGCATGAGCGCATGTACCGCTCTCGCGCGCTATTTCAGTCACAATACAGACAGACAGCAGACGTGAAAAAATGGTATTTGCTGTGAGAAACAGAATGGACCTCGGGTTCGAGTCGGGTTCGGGCTTAATATGTAAATGTAATTGTCGGGTCGGGTCGGGTCGGGTTAAATGATCGCGGGTACGGGCCGGGTTCGGGCTTCAGTTTAAAGCCCGTGCAGACCTCTAAAACCTACCCATCTCCACCCCCTGATCCCTAAACCCACCCCTAATCCCTAAACCCACCCCTAATCCTACCCATCTCCACCCCTTAGATCTTGATCCGGCTCCTCCCCGTGGATCTCATGTACTGCATTGAGGTGCTACTGGAAATCTGAGCCACCCGCTGAAGACGAGGTGGGTTCATTTTGTCCTTGAAAAATGCTCCCTCAACTCTACCGAAATTTGTTTATGTACCTACGCACTTCTTATACTGTGTTTACTCAGCTCTTACAGTGATTTTCTGGAGTAAAACGGACACTTATTCTTTTGTGTGACGTACAATAAACTTTATTAAACTCATCAGTATATTTTGTGTCATCATTCAGACATGGTCCTACAGCAGGCTTGTATTAATAGTGGCTACAATCAATGACACATAGGTTAAAACCGTAATTAAACTAAACTATACCTGTTCCAACTCCATGCATCATATAATCTCTGACTCTGTAGGCATTATTGTCCGAGTCGAAATTAACACCATTACTGTGAGTTTCTGTTTTGATATTATCATCTTTCCGTGAGTTGAGATTGTTCACTGAGCGCGAGCTGGTTAGGCTCCGCCCCCTCTGCTGTGAACCAGCAGCTCATTAGCATTTAAAGGAGACACACTAAAACGGTGCGTTTTTCTCAGCCCCAAAAAGTGACGATTTAAACATGCTGTAAAAAATTATCTGTGAGGTATTTTGACCTAAAACTTCACATACACACTCTGGGGACATCAGAGACTTATTTTACATCTTGTGAAAAGGGGCATAATAGGTCCCCTTTAAACAAAATATATCAAGTTACCAATCACACTGAATAGAATAACAAACTATTTCTCACTATCAATGTACAGTGCTGATGTTAATTTATAATAAAATGGCTTTTCAGCTACACAGGACATGAACATCTTCTCCACCTTAAATGTAATTTGCACCTAAAGACAGATATTGGGCCCTCTGCCTTGTCTATCCCAAACGTACATAAGTTTGTCTATGTTTGTACAGTAATGTTGTATGCAACAGGTCCTTTAAAAGTGAAGCCCAGGTAAAATGTGACATTCTCATTGTTATGGGGTATTGAGGATGACTTGAGAGCTGGGATTTGAAATTTCATTCCTTTGGGACCCTCTAGAAAAACCTTCTCATCCTCCGTCCAGCCTGTGACAGATCTCAGCAATTTAGAGATTTCTGGCATTTTCCATACTTCTCCACTAAACCATTTCATGCGTTTTTCTGAAATAGACAGCAGTTTTGTGATTGTTTCAACCTTGCTCTTGTGGACAAACTTTTCAAATCCAGTCCCATTGCCCAGGAAGAAATGAGTGTAGATCCTCTTTTTCCTTGGAGGGATGTCCTTCAGTTTCTTGTTGTAGTTTCTCTGGAGATGTTCAACAGCAGAGAGAACAGTTTCATACTTGTATTCTTTCTCCACTTCTGTGTCATGCTCTTCTGGCCAGAAAAGTAAGACGAGTAAGAAAAGAGCACTTGGCAAGCATCTCAGTTTCTCTTTAGGGAATTGGTGACTCAGTCTTTGCAGATTCTGAAATGCAGCCAGCTTAGAAGACTGAGTTGAGAGGCAACTTAAAGCAAAGTGGGATGCTATGTACTTGACAAGGTCCGCTGGTAGCATTTGTGCCCTCATAGGATTGCTTGGGTAAAGTGAAATAATTTGCTCCAGAACACTCACAGGGTTACCATCTTTCTGGTTGGTTAGGAGGGAAAAAATAGTTGTGATGTTTCCCCCACCATGATAATAAATCAACATGCGTTTCATGAGAGGACTTAAGTACCCTTGGTTTTGATCTGTAATAAGAGAAGCACCACTGAATAATTTGCCATAAGCAAAAGACTTATTCACCAGCCAGTGCATTGGATGCTTTATGGTCCTCTCAACAGTGTCAGATGTCTTCTCCTCGTCGGTTTTCAGGTCAGTCTGGAAGTAACTCAAGTCTTCCGAAATCCATTCCAGTGCTTCCAGCATTAATCTTTGGAGGTTTTTCAGCTTCCAATGATAATGTTCCCATGGTTCTTCTATCTCAACAGGAATGTATTCTGTAAGGAGGTATTGCATTAATTCTGAAGACTTTCTTTTTGAGAACACATGAAGAGTGCGCATTAGATTCAGCAATGCACATCCTACCTCTACTAATCCAACAAATCCAGCATTGTTCATGGTCTCATTGTCCTCAACTGCTGCATTCTTGCATTCCTGGAAACATTCAAT